CCACGTCCACGACCACGTCCACGTCCCACGACCCACACCCACGACCACGTCGACATCCACGTCCACGTCCACGTCCACGTCCACGACCACGTCCACGTCCACGTCCACCTCCACGTCCACGACCATGTCCACGTCCACGTCCACGTCCACATCCACCTACACGTCCACGTCCACGTCCACGTCCACGTCCACGACCACGTCCACGTCCACGACCACGCCCACGACCACGTCGACATCCACGTCCACGTCCACGTCCACGACCATGTCCACGTCCTTGTCCACCTCCACGTCCACGTCCACGACCATGTCCACGTCCACGTCCACGTCCACATCCACCTACACGTCCACGTCCACGACCACGTCCACGTCCACGTCCATATCCCATCCACGCCCACGTCCACGTCCATGTCCACGTCCATGTCCATCTCCACGTCCACGTCCACGTCCTCTACGTCCACGTCCATGTCCACGTCCACCTCCACATCCCATCCACGTCCACGTCCACGTCTATGTCCACGTCCAGGTCCACGTCCACGTCCACATCCACGACCTTTCCACGTCCACTTCCACGTCCGCGTCCACGTCCTCGTCCACGTCCACGTCCAGGTCCACGACCACATCCACGTCCATGTCCACGTCCACGTCCATGTCTACGTCCACGTCCACCTCCAAGTCCACGTCCATGTCCACGTTCACGACCACGTCCACGTCCACGTCCACGACCACGTCCACGTCCACGTCCACGACCACGTCCACGTCCACGTCCATGTCCAGGTCCACGTCCACGTCCACGTCCACGTCCATGACTATGTCCACGTCCATGTCCACGTCCACGACCACGTCCACGTCCACGTCCAAGTCCACGTCCACGTCCAGGTCCACGTCCACGTCCACATCCACGTCCACGCCCACGACCACGTCCACGTCCACGTCCACGACCACGCCCACGACCACGTCCACGTCCACGTCCACGTCCAGGTCCACGACCACGTCCAAGTCCACGTCCACGTCCAGGTCCACATCCACGACCATGTCCACGTCCAGGTCCACATCCACGTCCACGTCCACGACCACGTCCACGTCCAGCACCACGTCCACGTCCACGACCACGTCCACGTCCACGACCACGCCCACGACCACATCGACATCCACGTCCACGTCCACGTCCACGTCCATGTCCACGTCCACGTCCACGTCCACCTCCACGTCCACGTCCATGTCTACGTCCACGTCCACGTCCACGTCCATGTCCACGTCCACGTCCACGTCCACGTCCACGTCCATGTCCACGTCCACGTCCACGTCCATGTCCACGTCCATGTCCACGTCCATGTCCACGTCCATGTCCACGTCCATGTCCACGTCCATGTCCACGTCCACGTCCACGTCCATGTCCACGTCCACGTCCACGTCCACGTCCACGTCCACGTCCACGTCCATGTCCACGTCCATGTCCACGTCCACGTCGACGTCCACGTCCACGTCCACGTCCACGTCCACGTCCATGTCCACGTCCACGTCCATGTCCACGTCCACGTCCATGTCCACGTCCATGTCCACGTCCATGTCCACGTCCACGTCCACGTCCACGTCCACGTCCACGTCCATGTCCACGTCCACGTCCACATCCATGTCCACGTCCATGTCCACGTCCATGTCCACGTCCACGTCCATGTCCACGTCCACGTCCACGTCCACGTCCATGTCCACGTCCACGTCCACGTCCACGTCCACGTCCACGTCCACGTCCATGTCCACGTCCATGTCCACGTCCATGTCCACGTCCACGTCCATGTCCACGTCCATGTCCACGTCCACGTCCATGACCACATCCATGTCCACGTCCATGTCCAGGTCGATGTCCACGTCCATGTCCACGTCCACGTCCACGTCCACGTCGACGTCCACGTCCACGTCCACGTCCACGTCCACGTCCACGTCCACGACCATGTCCATGTCCACGTCCACGTCCACGTCCAACTCAACGTCCACGTCCACGTCCAAGTCCATGTCCATGTCCACGTCCACGTCCACGTCCACGTCCACGTCCATGTCCACGTCCATGTCCACGTCCACGTCCACGTCGACGTCCATGTCCATGTCCACGTCCACGTCCACGTCCACGTCCATGTCCATGTCCACGTCCATGTCCACGTCCACGTCCACGTCGACGTCGACGTCCACGTCCACGTCCACGTCCACGTCCACGACCATGTCCACGTCCATGTCCACGTCCACGTCCACGTCCACGTCCATGTCCACGTCCACGTCCACGTCCACGTCCATGTCCACGTCTACGTCCACGTCCACGTCCACGTCCACGTCCATGTCCACGTCCACGTCCACGTCCACGTCCATGTCTATGTCCAGGTCCACGTCCACGTCCACGTCCACGTCCACGTCCACGTCCAGGTCCATGTCCACGTCCATGTCCATGTCCAGGTCCACGTCCACGTCCACGTCCACGTCCACGTCCACGTCCACGACCATGTCCACGTCCATGTCCACGTCCACGTCCACGTCCACGTCCATGTCCACGTCCACGTCCACGTCCACCTCCATGTCCCCGTCTACGTCCACGTCCACGTCCACGTCCACGTCCACGTCCATGTCCACGTCCACGTCCACGTCCACGTCCACGTCCATGCCACGTCGACGTCCACGTCCACGTCCACGACCATGTCCACGTCCACGTCCACGTCCACGTCCATGTCCATGTCCACGTCCACGTCCACGTCCACGTCCACGTCCACGTCCATGTCCACGTCCATGTCCACGTCCACGTCCATGTCCACGTCCATGTCCACGTCCACGTCCATGTCCACGTCCATGTCCACATCCATGTCCAGGTCCATGTCCACGTCCATGTCCACGTCCACGTCCACGTCCACGTTGACGTCCACGTCCACGTCTACGTCCACGACCATGTCCACGTCCACGTCCACGTCCACATCCACGTCCATGTCCATGTCCATGTCCATGTTCACGTCCACGTCCACGTCCACGTCCACGTCTATGTCCACGTCCATGTCCACGTCCATGTCCACGTCCAGGTCCAGGTCCATGTCCACGTCCATGTCCACGTCCACGTCTACGACCACGTCCAGGTCCACGTCCACGTCCATGTCCACGTCCACGTCCACGTCCACGTCCACGTCCACGTCCATGTCCATGTCCATGTCCACGTCCACGTCCACGTCCACGTCCATGTCCACGTCCATGTCCACATCCATGTCCACGTCCAGGTCCAGGTCCATGTCCACGTCCATGTCCATGTCCACGTCCACGTCCACGTCCACGTCCACGTCCACGTCCATGTCCACGTCCATGTCCAGGTCCAGGTCCACGTCCACCTCCACGTCCACGTCCACGTCCACGTCCACGACCATGTCCACGTCCACGTCCACGTCCACGTCCATGTCCACGTCCACGTCCACGTCCACGTCCACGTCCATGTCCACGTCCATGTCCACGTCCACGTCCACGTCCACGTCCATGTCCACGTCCTCGTCCACGTCCACGTCCACGTCCACGACCATGTCCACGTCCACGTCCACGTCCACGTCCACGTCCACGTCCACGTCCACGTCCACGTCCACGACCATGTCCACGTCCACGTCCACGTCCACGTCCACGTCCATGTCCATGTCCACGTCCACGTCCACGTCCGTCCACGTCCACGTCCACGTCCATGTCCACGTCCACGTCCACGTCCACGTCCACGTCCATGTCCACGTCTACGTCCACGCGTCCACGTCCACGTCCATGCCCACGTCCACGACCATGTCCACGTCCACGTCCACGTCCACGTCCACGTCCATGTCCACGTCCACGTCCACGTCTACGTCCACGTCCACGACCACGTCCACGTCCACGTCCACGACCACGTCCACGTCCTCGTCCACGACCACGTCCACGTCCACGTCCACGACCACGTCCACGTCCACGTCTACGTCCACGTCCACGTCCAAGTCCTCCACGTCCATGTCCACCTCCACGTCCACGACCACGTCCACATCCATGTCCAAGTCCACGTCCACGTCCACATCCAAATCCACGTCCACGTCCACGACCACGTCCACGTCCTCATCCACGTCCACGTCCACGTCCACGTCCAGGTCCACGTCCAGGTCCAGGTCCACGTCCACGTCCACGTCCACGACCACGTCCACGTCCACGTCAACGTCCACGTCCAGGTCCACATCCAGGTCCACGTCCACGTCCACGTCCTCCATATCAACGTCCACGTCCTCCACGTCCACGTCCATGTCCACGTCCACGTCCACGTCCAAGTCCACGACCACGTCCACGTCCACGTCCACATCCACGTCCACATCCACGTCCAGGTCCACGTCCACGTCCAGGTCCGGGTCCACGTCCACGTCCACGTCCACGACCTTTCCACGTCCACGTCCGCGTCCACGTCCAGGTCTACATCCACGTCGACGTCCACGTCCACTTCCACGACCACGTCCAGGTCCACATCCACGTCGACGTCCACGACCACGTCCACGTCCAGGACCACGTCCACGTCCACGACCACGTCCACGTCTACGACCACACCCACGACCACGTCGACATCCACGTCCACGTCCACGTCCACGTCCACGACCACGTCCACATCCACGTCCACCTCCACGTCCACGACCATGTCCACGTCCACGTCCACGTCCACATCCACCTACACGTCCACGTCCACGTCCACGTCCACGTCCACGACCACGTCCACGTCCACGACCACGCCCACGACCACGTCGACATCCACGTCCACGTCCACGACCACGTCCACGTCCACGTCCACCTCCACGTCCACGTCCACGACCATGTCCACGTCCACGTCCACGTCCACATCCACCTACACGTCCACGTCCACGACCACGTCCACGTCCACGTCCATATCCCATCCACGCCCACGTCCACGTCCATGTCCACGTCCATGTCCATCTCCACGTCCACGTCCACGTCCTCCACGTCCACGTCCATGTCCACGTCCACCTCCACATCCCATCCACGTCCACGTCCACGTCTATGTCCACGTCCAGGTCCACGTCCACGTCCACATCCACGACCTTTCCACGTCCACTTCCACGTCCGCGTCCACGTCCTCGTCCACGTCCACGTCCAGGTCCACGACCACATCCACGTCCATGTCCACGTCCACGTCCATGTCTACGTCCACGTCCACCTCCAAGTCCACGTCCACGTCCACGTTCACGACCACGTCCACGTCCACGACCACGTCCACGTCCACGTCCACGACCACGTCCACGTCCACGTCCATGTCCAGGTCCACGTCCACGTCCACGTCCACGTCCATGACTATGTCCACGTCCATGTCCACGTCCACGACCACGTCCACGTCCACGTCCAAGTCCACGTCCACGTCCAGGTCCACGTCCACGTCCACATCCACGTCCACGCCCACGACCACGTCCACGTCCACGTCCACGTCCACGACCACGCCCACGACCACGTCCACGTCCACGTCCACGTCCAGGTCCACGACCACGTCCAAGTCCACGTCCACGTCCAGGTCCACATCCACGACCATGTCCACGTCCAGGTCCACATCCACGTCCACGTCCACGACCACGTCCACGTCCAGGACCACGTCCACGTCCACGACCACGTCCACGTCCACGACCACGCCCACGACCACATCGACATCCACGTCCACGTCCACGTCCACCTCCACGACCACGTCCACGTCCACGTCCACCTCCACGTCCACGTCCACGACCATGTCCACGTCCACGTCCACGTCCACCTCCACCTACACGTCCACGTCCACGACCACGTCCACGTCCACGTCCACGACCACGTCCACGTCCACGACCACGCCCACGACCACGTCGACATCCACGTCCACGTCCACGTCCACGTCCACGACCACGTCCACGTCCACGTCCACGTCCACCTCCACGTCCACGTCCACGACCATGTCCACGTCCACGTCCACGTCCACATCCACATCCACGTCCACGTCCATGTCCACGTTCACCTCCACATCCCATCCACGTCCATATCCCATCCACGTCCATGTCCACGTCGAGGTCCACGTCCACGTCCACATCCACTAACTTTCCACGTCCACTTCAACGTCCGCGTCCACGTCCTCGTCCACGTCCACGTCCAGGTCCACGACCACATCCACGTCCATGTCCGCGTCCACGTCCATGTCTACGTCCACGTCCACCTCCAAGTCCACGTCCACGTCCACGTCCACGTTCACGACTACGTCCACGTCCACGACCACGTCCACGTCCACGTCCACGACCACGTCCACGTCCACGTCCATGTCCAGGTCCACGTCCACGTCCACGTCCACGTCCATGACAATGTCCACGTCCATGTCCACGATCACGACCACGTCCACGTCCAGGTCCACGTCCAAGTCCACGTCCACGTCCACGTCCACGGTCACGACCACGTCCACGTCCACGTCCACGACCACGTCCATGTCCACATCCACGACCTTTCCACGTCCACGTCCACGTCCGCGTCCACGTCCTCGTCCACGTCCACGTCCAGGTCCACAACCACATCCACGTCCATGTCCACGTCCACGTCCATGTCTACATCCACGTCCACCTCCAAGTCAACGTCCACGTCCATGTCCACGTTCACGACCACGTCCACGTCCACGTCCACGACCACGTCCACGACCACGTCCACGTCCACGTCCATGTCCAGGTCCACATCCACGTCCACGTCCACGTCCATGACTATGTCCACGTCCATGTCCACGTCCACGACCACGTCCACGTCCACGTCCAAGTCCACGTCCACGTCCAGGTCCACGTCCACGTCCACGTCCACGTCCAGGTCCACGTCCACGTCCACGTCCATGTCCACGTCCACGACCACGTCCACGTCCACGTCCACGTCCACGTCCACATCCACCTACATGTCCACGTCCATGACCACGTCCACGTCCACGTCCACGACCACGTCCACGTCCACGTCCACATCCCATCCACGTCCACGTCCACGTCCATGTCCATCTCCACGTCCATGTCCACGTCCTCCCTGCCACGTCCACGTCCACGTCCACATCCCATCCACGTCCACGTCCACGTCCACGTCCACGTCCAGGTCCACGTCTACGTCCACGTCCTGGTCCACGTCCAGGTCCACGTCCACATCCACGTCCACGTCCACGTCTTCCACGTCCACGTCCACGTCCTCCATGTCCACGTCCACCTCCACGTCCACGTCCACCTCCATGTCTACGTCTACGTCCACGTCCACGTCCATGTCCACGTCCACATCCACGTCCACGTCCACGTCCATGTCCACGTCCACGTCCACGTCCATGTCCACGTCCATGTCCACGTCCATGTCCACGTCCATGTCCACGTCCATGTCCACGTCCATGTCCACGTCCACGTCCACGTCCACGTCCATGTCCAGTCCATGTCCACGTCCACGTCCACGTCCATGTCCACGTCCACGTCCACGTCCACGTCCATGTCCACGTCCATGTCCACGTCCACGTCCATGACCACGTCCATGTCCACGTCCATGTCCAGGTCCATGTCCACGTCCATGTCCACGTCCACGTCCACGTCCACGTCGATGTCCACGTCCACGTCCACGTCCACGTCCACGTCCACGTCCATGTCCAGTCCATGTCCACGTCCATGTCCACGTCCACGTCCACGTCCACGTCCATGTCCACGTCCACGTCCACGTCTACGTCCATGACCACATCCATGTCCAGGTCCATGTCCACGTCCATGTCTACGTCCACGTCGACGTCCACGTCGATGTCCACGTCCACGTCCACGTCCACGTCCACGTCCACGTCCACGTCCATGTCCACGTCCATGTCCACGTCCACGTCCACGGCCACGTCCATGTCCATGTCCACGTCCACGTCCACGTCCACGTCCATGTCCACGTCCACGTCCACGTCGACGTCCACGTCCACGTCCACGTCCACGTCCACGTCCACGTCGACGTCCACGTCCATGTCCACGTCCACGTCCACGTCCACGTCCAAGTCTATGTCCAGGTCCACGTCCACGTCCACGTCCACGTCCACGTCCATGTCCACGTCCATGTCCACGTCCATGTCCACGTCCATGTCCATGTCCAGGTCCACGTCCACGTCCACGTCCACGTCCACGTCTACGTCCACGTCCACGTCCACGTCCACGTCCACGTCCACGTCCACGTCCACGTCCATGTCCACGTCTACGTCCACGTCCACGTCGACGTCCACGTCCACGACCATGTCCACGTCCACGTCCACGTCCACGTCCATGTCCACGTCCACGTCCACGTCCACGTCCACGTCCACGTCCACGTCCACATCCACGTCCACGTCCATGTCCATGTCCATATCCACGTCCACGTCCACGTCCACGTCCATGTCCACGTCCACGTCCACGTCCACGTCCACGTCCACGTCCACGTCCACGTCCACGTCCACGTCCACGTCCACGTCCACGTCCACGTCCACGTCCACGTCCACGTCCATGTCCACGTCCATGTCCACGTCCATGTCCACGTCCAGGTCCAGGTCCATGTCCACGTCCATGTCCACGTCCACGTCCACGACCACGTCCACGTCCACGTCCATGTCCACGTCCACGTCCACGTCCACGTCCACGTCCATGTCCATGTCCACGTCCACGTCCACGTCCACGTCCACGTCCATGTCCACGACCATGTCCAAGTCCAGGTCCACGTCCACCTCCACGTCCACGTCCACGTCCACGTCCACGACCATGTCCACGTCCACGTCCACGTCCACGTCCACGTCCACGTCCATGTCCACGTCCACGTCCACGTCCACGTCCACGTCCACGTCCATGTCCACGTCCTCGTCCACGTCCACGTCCACGTCCACGACCATGTCCACGTCCATGTCCACGTCCACGTCCACGTCCACGTCCACGTCCACGTCCATGTCCACGTCCACGTCCACGTCCACGTCCACGTCCACGTCCACGTCCACGACCATGTCCACGTCCACGTCCACGTCCACGTCCATGTCCACGTCCACGTCCACGTCCACGTCCACGTCCACGTCCACGTCCACGTCCATCGTCCACGTCCACGTCCACGTCCACGTCCATGTCCACGTCCACGTCCACGTCCACGTCCACGTCCACGCGTCCACGTCCACGTCCACGTCCACGTCCACGTCCACGTCCATGTCCACGTCCACGTCCACGTCCACGTCCATGTCCATGTCCACGTCCACGTCCACGTCCACGTCCACGTCCACGTCCACGTCCACGTCCACGTCCACGTCCTCGTCCACGACCACGTCCACATCCACGTCCACGACCACGTCCACGTCCACGTCTACGTCCACGTCCACGTCCAAGTCCTCCACGTCCATGTCCACCTCCACGTCCACGACCACGTCCACATCCATGTCCAAGTCCACGTCCACGTCCACATCCAAATCCACGTCCATGTCCACGACCACGTCCACGTCCTCATCCACGTCCACGTCCACGTCCACGTCCAGGTCCACGTCCAGGTCCACGTCCACGTCCACGTCCACGACCACGTCCACGTCCACGTCAACGTCCACGTCCACGTCAACGTCCACGTCCACGTCAACGTCCACGTCAACGTCCACGTCCACGACCACGACCACCTCCAGGTCCACGTCCACGTCCACGTCCTCCATGTCCACGTCCACGTCCTCCACGTCCACGTCCATGTCCACGTCCACGTCCAAGTCCACGTCCACGTCCACGTCCACGTCAACGTCCACGTCCACATCCACGTCCAGGTCCACGTCCACGTCCAGGTCCACGTCCACGTCCACGTCCACGTCCACGACCTTTCCACGTCCACGTCCACGACCTTTCCACGTCCACGTCCACGTCCGCGTCCACGTCCTCGTCCACGTCCACGTCCACGTCCACGGCCACATCCACGTCCACGTCCACGTCCACGTCCATGTCCACGTCCAGGTCCACGTCCATGTCTACGTCCACGTCCACGTCCACGTTCACGACCACGTCCACGTCCACGACCACGTCCACATCCACGTCCACGCCCACGACCACGTCCACGTCCACGTCCACGTCCACATCTACGACCACGTCCACGACCACGTCCACGTCCACGTCCACGTCCAGGTCCACGACCACGTCCAAGTCCATGTCCACGTCCACGTCCACGTCCAGGTCCACTTCCACGACCACGTCCAGGTCCACATCCACGTCCACGTCCACGACCACGTCCACGTCCAGGACCACGTCCACGACCACGTCCACGTCCACGACCACGCCCACGACCACGTCGACATCCACGTCCACGTCCACGTCCACGACCACGTCCACGTCCACGTCCACCTCCACATCCACGTCCACGACCATGTCCACGTCCACGTCCACGTCCACATCCACCTACACGTCCACGTCCACGTCCACGTCCACGTCCACGACCACGTCCACGTCCACGACCACGCCCACGCCCACGACCACGTCGACATCCACGTCCACGTCCTCGTCCACGTCCACGACCACGTCCACGTCCACGTCCACCTCCACGTCCACGTCCACGACCATGTCCACGTCCACGTCCACGTCCACATCCACCTACACGTCCACGTCCACGACCACGTCCACGTCCACGACCACGTCCACGTCCACGTCCACGTCCATATCCCATCCACGCCCACGTCCACGTCCACGTCCACGTCCATGTCCATCTCCACGTCCACGTCCACGTCCTCCACGTCCACGTCCATGTCCACGTCCACCTCCACATCCCATCCACGTCCACGTCCACGTCTATGTCCACGTCCAGGTCCACGTCCACGTCCACATCCACGACCTTTCCACGTCCACTTCCACGTCCGCGTCCACGTCCTCGTCCACGTCCACGTCCAGGTCCACGACCACATCCACGTCCATGTCCACGTCCACGTCCATGTCTACGTCCACGTCCACCTCCAAGTCCACGTCCACGTCCACGTTCACGACCACGTCCACGTCCACGTCAACGACCACGTCCACGTCCACGTCCACGACCACGTCCACGTCCACGTCCACGTCCACGTCCACATCTACGACCACGTCCACGACCACGTCCACGTCCACGTCCACGTCCAGGTCCACGACCACGTCCAAGTCCATGTCCACGTCCACGTCCACGTCCAGGTCCACTTCCACGACCACGTCCAGGTCCACATCCACGTCCACGTCCACGACCACGTCCAGGACCACGTCCACGTCCACGACCACGTCCACGTCCACGACCACGCCCACGACCACGTCGACATCCACGTCCACGTCCACGTCCACGTCCACGACCACGTCCACGTCCACGTCCACCTCCACATCCACGTCCACGACCATGTCCACGTCCACGTCCACGTTTATATCCACCTACACGTCCACGTCCACGTCCACGTCCACGTCCACGACCACGTCCACATCCACCTACACGTCCACGTCCACGTCCACGTCCACGTCCACATCCACCTACACGTCCACGTCCACGTCCACGTCCACGTCCACGACCACGCCCACGCCCACGACCACGTCGACATCCACGTCCACGTCCTCGTCCACGTCCACGACCACGTCCACGTCCACGTCCACCTCCACGTCCACGTCCACGACCATGTCCACGTCCACGTCCACGTCCACATCCACCTACACGTCCACGTCCACGACCACGTCCACGTCCACGTCCACGTCCATATCCCATCCACGCCCACGTCCACGTCCACGTCCACGTCCATGTCCATCTCCACGTCCACGTCCACGTCCTCCACGTCCACGTCCATGTCCACGTCCACCTCCACATCCCATCCACGTCCACGTCCACGTCTATGTCCACGTCCAGGTCCACGTCCACGTCCACATCCACGACCTTTACACGTCCACTTCCACGTCCGCGTCCACGTCCTCGTCCACGTCCACGTCCAGGTCCACGACCACATCCACGTCCATGTCCACGTCCACATCCATGTCTACGTCCACGTCCACCTCCAAGTCCACGTCCACGTCCACGTTCACGACCACGTCCACGTCCACGTCCACGACCACGTCCACGTCCACGTCCACGATCACGTCCGCGTCCACGTCCATGTCCAGGTCCACGTCCACGTCCACGTCCATGACTATGTCCACGTCCATGTCCGCGTCCACGACCACGTCCACGTCCACGTCCAAGTCCACGTCCACGTCCAGGTCCACGTCCACGTCCACATCCACGTCCACGCCCACGACCACGTCCACGTCCACGTCCACGTCCACATCTACGACCACGTCCACGACCACGTCCACGTCCACGTCCACGTCCAGGTCCACGACCACGTCCAAGTCCACGTCCACGTCTACGTCCAGATCCACTTCCACGACCACGTCCAGGTCCACATCCATGTCCACGTCCACGACCACGTCCACGTCCAGGACCAGGTCCACGTCCACGACCACGTCCACGTCCACGACCACGCCCACGACCATGTCGACATCCACGTCCACGTCCACGTCCACGTCCACGACCACGTCCACGTCCACGTCCACCTCCACGTCCACGTCCACGACCATGTCCACGTCCACGTCCACGTCCACATCCACCTACACGTCCACGTCCACGTCCACGTCCACGTCCACGACCACGTCCACGTCCACGACCACGCCCACGACCACGTCGAAATCCACGTCCACGTCCACGTCCACGTCCACGACCACGTCCACGTCCACGTCCACGTCCACCTCCACGTCCACGTCCACGACCATGTCCACGTCCACGTCCACGTCCACATCCACCTACACGTCCACGTCCACGTCCACGTCCATATCCCATCCACGCCCACGTCCACGTCCACGTCCATGTCCATCTCCACGTCCACATCCACGTCCTCCACGTCCACGTCCATGTCCACGTTCACCTCCACATCCCATCCACGTCCACGTCCACGTCCATGTCCACGTCGAGGTCCACGTCCACGTCCACATCCACGACCTTTCCACGTCCACTTCCACGTCCGCGTCCACGTCCTCGTCCACGTCCACGTCCAGGTCCACGACCACATCCACGTCCATGTCCACGTCCACGTCCATGTCTACGTCCACGTCCACCTCCAAGTCCACGTCCACGTCCACGTCCACGTTCACGACCACGTCCACGTCCATGTCCACGACCACGTCCACGTCCACGTCCACGACCACGTCCACGTCCACGTCCATGTCCAGGTCCACGTCCACGTCCACGTCCACGTCCACGACTATGTCCACGTCCAAGTCCACGACCACGACCACGTCCACGTCCAGGTCCACGTCCAAGTCCACGTCCACGTCCACGTCCACGGTCACGACCACGTCCACGTCCACGTCCACGACCACGTCCACGTCCACATCCACGACCTTTCCACGTCCACGTCCACGTCCGCGTCCACGTCCTCGTCCACGTCCACGTCCAGGTCCACAACCACATCCACGTCCATGTCCACGTCCACGTCCATGTCTACGTCCACGTCCACCTCCAAGTCCACGTCCACGTCCACGTCCACGTTCACGACCACGTCCACGTCCACGTCCACGTCCATGTCCAGGTCCACATCCACGTCCACGTCCATGACTATGTCCACGTCCATGTCCACGTCCACGACCACGTCCACGTCCACGTCCACGTCCACGTCCACGTCCAGGTCCACGTCCACGTCCACGTCCACGTCCACGTCCACGTCCACGTCCACGTCCAGGTCCACGTCCACGTCCACGTCCACGTCCACGTCCACGTCCACGTCCACGACCACGTCCACGTCCACGTCCACGTCCACATCCACCTACATGTCCACGTCCACGACCACGTCCACGTCCACGACCACGTCCACGTCCACGTCCACATCCCATCCACGTCCACGTCCACGTCCATGTCCATCTCCACGTCCATGTCCACGTCCTCCCTGCCACGTCCACGTCCACATCCCATCCACGTCCACGTCCACGTCCACGTCCACGTCCAGGTCCACGTCCACGTCCACGTCCTGGTCCACGTCCAGGTCCACGTCCACATCCACGTCCACGTCCACGTCTTCCACGTCCACATCCACGTCCTCCATGTCCACGTCCACATCCACGTCCACGTCCAAGTCCACGTCCACGTCCACGTCCACGTCCAGGTCCACGTCCACGTCCATGTCCACATCCACATCCATGACCTTTCCACGTCCACGTCCACGTCCACGTCTACGTCCACGACCACGTCCACGTCCACGTCCACGTCCAGGTCCACGTCCACATCTACGTCTACGTCCACGTCCAGGTCCACGTCCACGTCCACGTCCACGTCCACGATCACGTTCACGACCACGTCCACGTCCACGTCCACGTCCACGTTCACGTCCACGTCCACGTCCACATCCACGACCACGTCCACGTCCACGTCCACGTCCAAGTCCACGTCCACGTCCACGTCCTGGTCCACGTCCACGACCACGACCACGTCCACGACCACGTCCACGTCCAGGTCCACGTCATGGACGACCACGTCCACGTCCACGTCTACGACCACGTCCACGTCCACGTCCAGGTCCACGTCCACGTCCACGTCCACGACCACGTCCACGTCCACATCCACGTCCACGTCCACATCCACGTCCACGACCACGCCCACGTCCACGTCCACCTCCAAGTCTACCTCCACGTCCACGTCCACGTCCACGACCACGTCCACGTCCACGTCCACGTCCAGGACCACGTCCACGTCCAGATCCACGTCGACCACGACCACATCAACGTCCACGTCCACGTCCACGTCCACGTCCAAGTCTACGTCTACGTCCACGTCCAAGTCCACGTCCACGTCCACATCCACGACATCCTCCACGACCACGTGGACGTGGACGTGGACGTGGACGTCGTGGACGTGGACTTGGACGTGGACGTGGAGGACGTGGACGTGGACGTGGAGGACGTGGACGTGGACGTGGACGTGGACGTGGTCGTGGACATGGACGTGGACGTGGACGTGGACGTCGTGGACGTGGACGTGGTCGTGGACGTGGACGTGGACGTGGTCGTGGACGTGGACGTGGACGTGGACGTGGACGTGGACGTGGAGGTGGTCGTGGAGGTGGACGTGGACGTGGACGTGGACGTGGACGTGGACGTCGTGGTCGTGGACATGGACGTGGATGTGGACGTGGACGTGGACGTGGTTGTGGACGTGGACGTCGTGGACGTGGACGTGGATGTGGACGTGGACGTGGTCGTGGACGTGGACGTGAACGTGGACTTGGACGTGGACCTGGACGTGGACGTGGACGTGGACGTGGACGTGGTGGACGTGGACGTGGCCGTGGACGTGGACGTGGACGTGGACGTGGTGGACGTGGACGTGGCCGTGGACGTGGACGTGGACGTCGTGGACGTGGTGGTGGTGGACCTGGACGCGGCCGTGGTCGTGGACGTGGACGTGGACGTGGACGTGGTCGTGGTCGTGGACGTGGACGTGGACGTGAAGGTGGACGTGGACATGGACGTGGACGTGGTCGTGGACGTGGATGTGGACGTGGACATGGTCGTGGTCGTGGACGTGGACGTGGACGTGGTCGTGGACGTGGAGGTGGTCGTGGACGTGGACGTGGACGTCGTGGTCGTGAACGTGGACGTGGACGTGGTCGTGAACGTGGTGGACGTGGACGTGGCCGTGGACGTGGACGTGGACGTGGACGTGGACGTGGTGGACGTGGACGTGGCCGTGGACGTGGACGTGGACGTCGTGGACGTGGTGATGGTGGACGTGGACGTGGCCGTGGACGTGGACGTGGACTTGGACGTGGACCTGGATGTGGACGTGGACGTGGTCGTGGACGTGGTGGACGTGGAAGTGGCCGTGGACGTGGACGTGGACGTGGACGTGGACGTGGTGGACGTGGACGTGGCCGTGGACGTGGACGTGGACGTAGACGTGGACGTGGTCGTGGACGTGGTCGTGGACGTGGACGTGGAGATGGAGGTGGACGTGGTCGTGGACGTGGACGTGGTCGTGGACGTGGACGTGGACGTGGACGTGGACGTGGAGGTGGTCGTGGACGTGGACGTGGTCGTGGACGTGGAGGACTTGGACGTGGACGTGGTCGTCCACGTGGACGTCGACGTGGACGTGGACGTTGTCAACGGGAGTTGGGTATTGGCCCCGTCCTCGCTTGGGCGGATCCGACTTCGTGGTCGGGTGTGAGGGGAGCAGCCGGCCTTCAGAAGTGGGTGAGCTGGTCGACGAGGAGGTCGACCTGCACGGGGGAACACTGCACGGGCGCCGAATTCAGGGTGGCGCCGACTTCAGGGAGGTCGACTTGGGTGTCGACCTGCGGAGGACGTCAACTTGGTGACGTCAACTTGGGGAAGCCGACTTCGGCAGTCGGCTAACGGACTGCTGGTCGACCTGTTAAGTGGTCTACTGGACCTGGTGGTCGACGAAGAAGGGGCCGACGTCGACCTTGACTCAGGACGCCGAGCAGTTGGGCGTCGAGTAGCGGGGCGCCAACTTCGTGACGCCAGCTTCGGGTGGCCGACGTGGGTGGTCGGCCGACGACTGTGCTGGTCGACGAGGAGCAAGTCGACCAGGAGTGCTGGTCGACGTGGAGCTGGTCGACCAGAGGGGATGTCGACCTGGAGGAGGTCAACCGATGGTGTCGTCGACCTGGTGAGGTCGACGTGGAGGTGGTCGTCGACTTGGGAGGTCGACGGGCACGTACGGGAGCTGCTGGTCGACGTGGTTGCCTGGTCGACCAGGTTACCTGGGTGACGAAGTGCTGCGGAGGAGTGCGACGGTCGCCCAGGCGAAGTTGGCGAGCCCGACCTCGGTGGTGGTATCCCGAGGTCGTCGTGGCGGATCAGAGGCAGTCGTCAGCTCGAGATTGACGTGGTGTGTGCGCTGTGCAGGTAAAAAGACTCTGCGCGCCAATCATCTGCGCACAACTGCGAAGCAGGGTGCACTGCTGTCCTGCGTGAGCAACGCTGTCGACGAAGTCGTGCTGGAACGCGGTCGACCAAGCTGCGCTGGCAGTTGGCCGACCTGAATGCTTGCTCTGATGTAGTCTTGCTATGCCAACTTCATTGCATCATTGTTCTGAACTTTTCCTAGTAAAACTCTTGCCAATTTTCCCCGTGAACTAGCAAGTAGTGTGTGCACAAGGAAAACGACTAAGGACTAACGAGCGCAGAGATCACACGAGCACACGTGCCTAGCCCGTAGCCTAGCTCCCGTTGCTGCAGTTATCTCCGCATGGTGCGGTGAGCGTGGATCGAACACGCGACGTAGTTCAGTCTAGCCGACTTAGCACATACTGATCGTGTTTGTAGACCGGCAGCCGTGAAGTCACTAGCGTGCGCGTAGGCGACGCCGAGGTGATGGACACCCTGGAGGGACGGCTGGAGGATGCGAGGAGACGCCATGAGGCTCAGGAGTATGGGGCGATACCCTGGGCAGTCGTCGAGGCCGGACTCCGCTCCGTGTGGGCGGCGGAGCATCCCCCTTCTCGACCTGCCTCTCCTCGACCGGTGAACAACGACGGCGGCGTCGATGTGGGCGTCAACGCCGGTGGAGGTCAGGTCGGCAGCAGTGTGGGAGGCACGTCGAGGCAACGAGGTGTGATACACGCCGGTGAAGCCGGCGGCATTCAGGCGAGAGGGATGCAGTCGTCGGCGGCTGCAGGCTCCTCACATGGTGACGGCGGTGGGCATCGAAGTGGGCTGTCGCCGATGACGGCGTCCCAGGTGACGGCAGGTGGGATGGCACCGAGCTACGGCTACTTCAAGTTTACGCCGGACAGGATCTCGGTCACCCCTCCGCTGGTCGGTCGACCCGACATTCTCACCTGGAAGGAAGCCATCGAGCCCCAGCTGGAGATGGCCGGGCTGATCGGCTTCGCCCGAGGGACCGTGGCGACGCCGAGTGAGCACCACCCCGACCTGCGTGCGGAGTTTCGCGCCGTGCAGCTGTTGACCTTCACGGTCATCTCGCGGTGCTGCTCGCCGGGCGTGCAGATCGCCTTGAAGTGGTGCCGGGAGTACCTCGACGCCGGCCACCGGGCGTGGCACTTCATTGAGTCAACGTACCAGGTCACCGACGACCTGTTCATCGCCCAGCTGGAGGGACAGCTGACACACCTGCGTATGGGCGACGAGGAGAGTGCGACCGACTACTGCAACCGAGCCGGGCGAATCCTCTCCACCATCAGGATGGCCGGCGCGCAGTACTCCACGGCGTCGTACATCACCGATGTCATGCAGGGACTGTCTAGCAGCTATAACCTCCTGAAGCGGCTGTCTATGGCGCCGAGCACGAGGGCGACGCTCAACGAGGACAACCTGACCTCGTACATCCTGCAGGACGAGGCGATGCAGGAGGCTGAGCGATCACAGGAGCTCTTGGCGCAGGCCAACTTCGTCGCTCCGTCAAAGCAAGGAGGCCGACCAGGACAGCGCGGACAGTCAGGTGGCGGCGGGAGCGGTGGCTAGAAGTCGACCAAGGAGGTCGAGAAGAAGTCCACCAAGGACGGCGGTCGAGGAGGAGGAGGTCGACGTCGGGAGTGCTGGATCTGCCACAGCCCCGATCACCTCTCCTTCGATTGTCCCGACCGCAGTGACTCCGACAACGACGACAAGGGCGGCCGCGGGAGGTCTGGCAGCCGTCGTCCTCGTCGTGGAGGAAATCATCCGCGCAAGGAGAAACAGTCGACCAAGGCATCGACTTCGGCGAAGGACGCCGACTCCGTTGCAGGCGGCAAGGGGCGAGACGACAAGATGGCGTCGTGCTCGCTGGTCGGCGTCGTGGAGCCGACCATCTCTCTGGCGCCGGAGGCCGGAGAGGACTTCCAGGCGGTGGCGGCGGCTGTGCAGGCGAACTCGGCGGTGGTCCTGCTCGACAGCGGTTGCTCCCACCACCTGATGGGAACGAAGGAAGCCTTCGTTGACCTGCAGCCGAGTGGCTCCATCAAGCACGTGCGCGGCTTCAATGGGGCGCTGCAGGACGTTCAGGGCAGTGGCACCGTCGCTCTGCGAGGAGAGGCCGGGAAGGAGGTGCTCATCCCCGACGTGTTGTACGTCCCAGGTGTGCGAGCCAACCTGCTGTTGGCCGGCCAGCTGAAGGAGCACGGAGTGAAGCTGCAGGAGGACGGAGACGGCATGCTGCTCGTCTCGGCAGCAGGGGAGGTGCTCGGGCGGGCAACGTACTCTGGGCGAGTCCTCTGCACCGACCTGCGTCCCTGCGCGACGAGGTCGACGCCGCCCACGTCGGAGGTGGTGGCTCTGCGGGCGATCGTCTCGAAGACGAAGTCGACGCCGGACCGGATGCATGTGAGGCTTGCACATGTCGGCATGGACACCATACGGAGCTCAGCGAAGAACGAGGTCGCCACTGGGCTAGACCTCAAGTCGGCGACGGACGCCGGCTCCCCGTGTGTCTCGTGCGTCGGCGGGAAGCTGGCGCGACACACCTTCCCCGACCAAGGCTCCGACGCCGACGATGTGCTGGCCGTCGTGCACATCGACCTGTGCGGGCCATTCCGCGTGGCTGCCAAGGATGGCAGCCTGTACTTCTTGTTGCTGAAGGACCGCAAGACCCGCTACGTGTGGGTGAAGCCGGTCACCAAGAAGTCAGATGCGTTGCCGGCGTTCGTGCAGTGGCTGGCAGTGGCTGAGCGGCAGACGAAGAGGTCGGTGTTAATGCTGCGCTCTGACCGGGGAGGGGAGTTCCTCGGGAAGCAGTTCACCGACTTCGTGAACGGCAAGGGGATCGTCCACGATCTGACCTGCCCATACACCCCGCAGCAGAACGGCATGGCGGAGCGGGAGATGAGGACGGTGGTGGAGTCGGTGCGGACAATGCTGCTGCACATGGGCGTGCAGCACCACTGGTGGCACCTCGCTCTCCGGCAGGCCGTCTGGGTCCGCAACTGCCTTGAGAGGTCGGCGCTGCCGCCGGGGACGACGCCGTACCAACTGCTGACCAGGAAGAAGCCCGACTTGTCGCTGGCGCGGGTGTGGGGCTGCATGGCGCAGTTCTTAGTCACCGAGCAGCAGCGTGGTGGGAAGCTGCAGCCGAAGCCCAGGTGGGGCCTGCACCTTGGCGTGTCGGCGGCGAGCAAGGGCTGGGAGCTCCTCGACGTCGACGCCGACCGGGTGGTCACCACGTCGGATGTGGTGTTCTACGAGGAGCTGTCTCTGGCCGAATGGAAGACGGAGTACGGGTCGGTGTCCGGCTGCTCGTCGCCCACCCCGCCCTCTGACACCTCGTCGGCGACGCTACCACTGCTTGCCGAGGTCGGTGAGCTTGCTATTACGGACGTCGAGGACGTCCGCCCTACCCCTCCCCCTCCGACCCCTGCCCCTCCCCTCGTGGCCGACCTGCTTGGGCTGACCTCGGTGTCGGCCTCCGGCGATGAGGGGAGTAGTGGGACGTCGCCTTCGGCCAAGTGCATCGCCGGTGGCCGACGTGACGAGCGTCAGGTCGACGTGGGATTGCAGTCGACGTCGACAGGGGAGGAGCAGGTCGAGAAGCAGGTCGAGGACCAGCGGCCGACAAAGGAGCAGGCAGCAGTGACGCCGACCAAAGAGCAGTCGGCAACCGGGCCGTCGGCAGGGGAGCCGACCACAGGGGAGAAGTCGGCTGGGAAGCCGGCCGCAGTAGAACAGTCGGCTGGGACGCCGACTGAGGAACAGCAGGACGCCGAGGGCAGCGACGACAGTGACGATGGAGGGGATGCCGAGGAGGCCCAGTCGGGACCACGGCGTTCGGGCCGACTTCGGAGGCCGCCCGACTTCTTCGTCCCCGCTGCCTTCACCACGGTGTATGACGTGGACGATGACGACGACCTGCTGTACGATGACGCCGAGGATGATGAGGAGTTTCCGGAGCTCGACCCTGACATCCTAGCCGACCGCGAGCACCGTTGGGACATCTCGACGATGACGGTGAAGGAGGCATTGGCGAGCTGGAAGGGCCCGGCGGTGAAGGCCGCCATGGAGGAGGAGATTCGCAGCCTCCTCAACATGGGAACGTGGGAGTTGGTCGAACGTCCGCCGGGAGTGAACGTCATGAAGAACCGGTGGGTGTTGACGACGAAGTACCACGTCGACGACACCGTTGAGCGCGAGAAGGCGAGGCTGGTTGTGAAGGGCTTCACGCAGGTGTACGGCGCCGACTACGACGAGACGTTCGCGCCGGTGGGCAGCTACGTCACGCTGAGGATCTTCCTCAGCATCGTCGCCGTCCGCAACCTCAACCTGATGCAGCTCGACATGAAGAACGCCTTCTTGCAGAGCAAGCTCGACAGGGTGCTCTACATGTCCCAGCCGGACTACTTCAAAGACGGGACCGGCCGGGTGTGCAAGCTGCTGAAGAGCCTGTACGGGCTAAAGCAGTCGCCGCTGCTATGGTACTTGGCGCTCAATGACGTGCTGGTCGGCGCCGGGTGGAAGAAGAGCCAGGTCGACGAGGCTCTCTACTTCAAGGACGGAAAGGACGGAGTGGCCTGCTGGGTGCTGGTCTACGTCGACGACCTACTTGCCGCCAGCAGTAGCGCCGCGATGTTGAAGGAGCTGAAGGAGCTTCTGGAAGCCGCCTTCGAGCTGCGTGAGATCTCGCCGGTGCAGAAGTACCTCGGGCTGGAGATCGTCCGCGACAGGTCGGCGGGGAAGCTGTGGCTGCACCAGCAGGGCTACGCCGAGAGGCTTCGTAGGCGCTTCATCGACGAGGAGCAGACCGGGCGCACCCCGAAGACGCCGATCTCGGTCGATGCCTACGCCGAGCTCACGTTCGATGACGAGGAGGCACAGGAGCGGCAGGAAGAGGAGTACCGGCAGAAGGTCGGCTCGCTGTAGTTCGCGGCGACGACGACGAGGCCGGACATCGCCTTCGCCTGCAGCAAGCTGGGGAGCGGCCTCACGGTGAGGAGCAACCAGCACTGGCGCGAGGTCGACCGCTGCCTCGCCTACCTCGCCAATACGCGCGACACCGCACTGGAGTTCGGCGGTGGACCTGAGTCGCTGGAGCTGGTCGGCTACGTGGACGCCGACGACGCCGGTGACAAGCAGAACAGGACGAGCACGGGTGGCTACGTGTTCGTCTATGGAGGGGCCGCAGTCTCCTGGTCGAGCCAGCGCATCAAGTGTGCGACGTTGTCATCGACTGAGTCGGAGTACGTGGCAGCCACCGAAGCCGGCAAGGAAGGACGCCGACTTCGCTTCCTCCTCACAGAATTCCGGCAACTGGACGCCGGGAAGCCGACTGTCCTGCGAGTGGACAACAAGTAGGCCATCACGGTCGCCGAGGGCATGGGGTTGACGGGCAACCTCAAGCACATGGAGCGGCGACAGGCGTGGCTGCAGCACATGGTGAAGCGCGGGAAGTTCTCGCTGCAGTACATCCCAACCGCTGAGCAGCCGGCCGATTTCCGGACGAAGGCGCTGCACTATCCGGCCTTCAACCGGTGCTCCGTCGCAATCGGTCAGGTGCGCTTGGCCGACGTGAGCGACGGCGACAACGACGTGCAGCAGTAGGTGCCATGCCCTCTTGCATGGCTGGTGCGGTGACCAGCGTGCTGTGTGTTGGGTGCACGCTGACGGGCTATTCTCAGAGCTGTACTGCCGTGTGGGCTGGGTGCCCAAGCGTGAACGCGGCAGGGGAGTGTCAACGGGAGTTGGGTATTGGCCCCATCCTCGCTTGGGCGGAGCCGACTTCGTGGTCGGGTGTGAGGGGAGCAGCCGGCCTTCAGCAGTGGGTGAGCTGGTCGACGAGGAGGTCGACCTGCACGGGGGACCACTGCACGGGCGCCGACTTCAGGGTGGCGCCGACTTCAGGGAGGTCGACTTGGGTGTCGACCTGCGGAGGACGTCAACTTGGTGACGTCAACTTGGGGAAGCCGACTTCGGCAGTCGGCTAACGGACTGCTGGTCGACCTGTTAACTGGTCGACTGGACCTGGTGGTCGACGAAGGAGGGGCCGACGTCGACCTCGACTCAGGACGCCGAGCAGTTGGGCGTCGAGTAGCGGGGCGCCAACTTCGTGACGCCAGCTTCGGGTGGCCGACGTGGGTGGTCGGCCGACGACTGTGCTGGTTGACGAGGAGCAAGTCGACCAGGAGTGCTGGTCGACGTGGAGCTGGTCGACCAGAGGGGATGTCGACCTGGAGGAGGTCGACCGATGGTGTCGTCGACCTGGTGAGGTCGACGTGGAGGTGGTCGTCGACTTGGGAGGTCGACGGGCACGTACGGGAGCTGCTGGTCGACGTGGTTGCCTGGTCGACCAGGTTACCTGGGTGACGAAGTGCTGCGGAGGAGTGCGACGGTCGCCCAGGCAAAGTTGGCGAGCCCAACCTCGGTGGTGGTATCCCGAGGTCGTCGTGGCGGATCAGAGGCAGTCGTCAGCTCGAGATTGACGTGGTGTGTGCGCTGTGCAGGTGACAAGACTCTGCGCGCCAATCATCTGCGCACAACTGCGAAGCAGGGTGCACTGCTGTCCTGCGTGAGCAACGCTGTCACGCCGTCAACCTGCGACGTTGGCACGCCGTCGACCTTGCCTTGCTGGAGCGCTGTCGACGAAGTCGTGCTGGAACGCGGTCGACCAAGCTGCGCTGGCAGTTGGCCGACCTGAATGCTTGCTCTGGTGTAGTCTTGCTATGCCAACTTCATTGCATCATTGTTCTGAACTTTTCCTAGTGAAACTCTTGCCAATTTTCCCCGTGAACTAGCAAGTAGTTTGTGCACAAGGAAAACGACAAAGGACTAACGAGCGCAGAGATCACAGGAGCACACGTGCCTAGCCCGTAGCCTAGCTCCCGTTGCTGCAGTTATCTCCGCACACGTGGTCCTGGACGTGGTCGTGGACGTGGTCGTGGACGTGGTCGTCCACGACGTGGACTTGGACGTGGACAAGGACGTGGACGTGGATGTGGTCGTCCACGACGTGGACCTGGACGTGGTCGTGGACGTGGACGTGGACGTGGACGTGGACGTGGTCGTGGACGTGGACGTGGATGTGGACGTGGTCGTGGACGTGGACGTGGACGTGGACGTGGTGGACGTGGACGTGGACGTGGAGGACGTGGACGTGGACGTGAACGTGGACGTAGACGTGGACGTGGACGTGGTCGTGGACGTGGAGGTGGACGCGGACGTGGACGTGGAGGTGGACGCGGACGTGGACGTGGATGTGGACGTGGTCGTGGACGTGGAGGACTTGGACGTAGACGTGGTCGTGGACGTGGACGTGGACGTGGACGTGGTTGTGGACGTGGACGTGGTCGTGGACATGGACGTGGACGTGGACGCGGACGGGGACAGGGACGCGGACGGGGACGGGGACGTGGACGGGGACGTGGACGTGGACGTGAACGTGGACGTGGTCGTGGACGTGGTCGTGGACGTGGACTTGGAGATGGACGTGGACGTGGACGTGGACGTGGAGGTGGTCGTTGACGTGGACGTGGTCGTGGACGTGGACGTGGACGTGGTCGTGGACGTGGACGTGGCTGTGGAGTGGACGTGGACGTGGACGTGGACGTGGATGTGGTCGTGGAGTGGACGTGGACTTGGACTTGGACGTTGACGTGGACTTGGACGTAGACGTGGTCGTGGACGTGGACGTGGACGTGGACGTGGTTGTGGTCGTGGTCGTGGATGTGGACGTGGACGTCGACGTGAACGTGGACGTAGTCCTGGATGTGGTCGTGGACGTGGTCTTGGACGTGGTCGTCCACGACGTGGACATGGACGTGGACGTGGACGTGGACGTGGACGTGGTCGTCCACGACGTTGACCTGGACGTGGTCGTGGACGTGGACGTGGACGTGGACATGGTCGTGGACATGGACGTGGACGTGGACGTGGACGTGGTCGTGGACGTGGACGTGGACGTCGTGGACGTGGAGGACGTGGACGTGGACGTGGACGTGGACGTGGACGTGGACGTGGACGTGGACATGGACGTGGACGTGGTCGTGGACGTGGACGTGGACGTGGACGTGGACGTGGACATGGACGTGGACGTGGTCGTGGACGTGGACGTGGACGTGGACGTGGAGCTGGACGTGGACGTGGACGTGGACGTGGTCGTGGACGTGGAGGACTTGGACGTGGACGTGGACCTGGACGTGGTCGTGGACGTGGACGTGGTCGTGGAGTGGACGTGGACTTGGACATGGACGTGGTCGTGGACCGGGACGCGGACGTGGACATGGACGGGGACACGGACGGGGACGGGGACGTGGACGTGGACGTGGTCGTGGACGTGGTCGGGGACGTGGACGTGGTCGTGGACGTGGACGTGGACGTGAACGTCGTGGACGAAGACGTGGACGTAAACGTGGTCGTGGACGTGGACGTGGACGTGGACGTGGACGTGGACTTGGACGTGGACCTGGACGTGGATGTGGCCGTGGACGTGGACGTGGACGTGGTGGACGTGGACGTGGCTGTGGACGTGGACGTAGACGTGGACGTGGACGTGGTCGTAGACGTGGTCGTGAACGTGGACGTGGAGATGGACGTGGACGTGGTCGTGGACGTGGACGTGGACGTGGTCGTGGACGTGGACGTGGACGTGGACGTGGACGTGGACGTGGTCGTGGACGTTGAGGACTTGGACGTGGACGTAGTCGTCCACGTGGACGTGGACGTGGTCGTCCACGTGGACGTGGACGTGGACGTGGTTGTGGTCGTGGTCGTGGATGTGGACGTGGACGTGGACGTGGATGTGGACATGGTCCTGGACGTGGTCGTGGACGTGGTCGTGTACGTGGTCGTCCACGACGTGGACTTGGACGTGGACGTGGACGTGGACGTGGACGTGGTCGTCCACGACGTGGACCTGGACGTGGTCGTGGACGTGGACGTGGACGTGGACGTGGTGGACGTGGACGTGGCCGTGGACGTGGACGTGGACGTGGACGTGGTCGTGGACGTGGACGTGGACGTGGACGTGGTCGTGGACGTGGACGTGGACGTGGACGTGGACGTTGTGGACGTGGACGTGGACATGGAGGACGTGGACGTGGACGTGGACGTGGACGTGGACGTGGACGTGGTCGTGGACGTGGAGGACTTGGACGTGGACGTGGATGTGGTCGTCGACGTGGACGTGGTCGTGGAGTGGTCGTGGACTTGGACGTGGACGTGGACGTGGTCGTTGACGTGGACGTGGACGTGGACGGGGACGCGGACGGGGACGGGGACGTGGACGTGGACGTGGACGTGGACGTGGACGTGGACGTGGTCGTGGACGTGGAGGACTTGGACGTGGACGTGGATGTGGTCGTCGACGTGGACGTGGTCGTGGAGTGGTCGTGGACTTGGACGTGGACGTGGACGTGGTCGTTGACGTGGACGTGGACGTGGACGGGGACGCGGACGGGGACGGGGACGTGGTCGTGGACGTGGACGTCGTGGACGTGGACGTGGACGTGGTCGTGGACGTGGACGTGGACGTGGACGTGGACCTGGACGTGGACGTGGACGTGGACGTGGTGGACGTGGACGTGGCCGTGGACGTGGACTTGGACGTGGACGTGGTGGACGTGGACGTGGCTGTGGAGGACGTGGACGTGGACGTGGACGTGGACGTGGTCGTGGACGTGGTCGTGGACGTGGACGTGGAGATGGAGGTAGACGTGGTCGTGGACGTGGACGTGGTCGTGGACGTGGACGTGGATGTGGACGTGGACGTGGAGGTGGTCATGGAAGTGGACGTGGTCGTGGACGTGGAGGACTTGGACGTGGACATGGTCGTCCACGTGGACGTGGACGTGGTTGCGGTCGTGGTCGTGGATGTGGACGAGGACGTCGACGTGGACGTGGACGTGGTCGTGGACGTGGTCGTGGACGTGGTCCTGGACGTGGTCGTCCACGACGTGGACTTGGACGTGGACGTGGATGTGGTCGTCCACGACGTGGACCTGGACGTGGACGTGGACGTGGACCTGGACATGGACGTGGACGTGAACGCGGACGTGGACGTGGTCGGGGACGTGGACGTGGACGTGGACGTGGACACGGACGTGGACGTCGTCGGGGACGTGGACGTGGACGTTGACGCGGTCGTGGACGTGGTCGTGGACGTGGACGTGGATGTGGACGTGGACGTGGACGTGGACGCGGACGTGGACGCGTTCGTGGACGTGGTCGTGGACGTGGTCGTGGACGTGGACGTGGACGTGGTCGTGGACGTGGTCGTGGACGTGGTCCTGGATGTGGACGTGGACGTGGACGTGGACGTGGTGGACGTGGACGTGGACGTGGTGGACGTGGACGTGGTCGTGGACGTGGTCGTGGACGTGGACGTGGAGATGGACGTGGACGTGGTCGTTGACGTGGACGTGGACGTGGACGTGGACGTGGACGTGGACGTGGAGGTGGTCGTGGACGTGGACGTGGAGGACTTGGACGTGGACGTGGTCGTCCACGTGGACGTGGACGTGGATGAGGTTGTGGTCGTGGTCGTGGATGTGGACGTGGACGTCGACGTCGATGTGGACGTGTACGTGGTCCTGGACGTGGACGTGGACGTGGTGGACGTGGACGTGGCCGTGGACGTGGACGTGGACGTGGATGTGGTCGTGGACGTGGTCATGCACGTGGACGTGGAGATGGACGTGGACGTGGTCGTGGACGTGGACGTGGACGTGGTCGTGGTCGTGGACGTGGACGTGGACGTGGAGGTGGTCGTGGACGTGGACGTGGTCGTGGGCGTGGAGGACGTGGACGTGGACGTGGTCGTCCACGTGGACGTGGACGTGGACGTGGTTGTGGTCGTGGTCGTGGATGTGGACGTGGACGTGGACGTCGACGTGGACGTGGACGTGGTCCTGGACGTGGACGTGGACGTGGTCGTGGACGTTGTCACGTCCACGACGTGGACTTGGACGTGGACGTGGACGTGGACGTGGTCGTCCACGACGTGGACCTGGACGTGGTCGTGGACGTGGACGTGGACGTGGACGTGGACGTGGTCGTGGACGTGGACGTGGTCGTGGACGTGGTCGTGGACGTGGACGTGGACGTGGACGTCGTGGACGTGGACGTGGACGTGGAGGACGTGGACGTGGACGTGGTGGTGGTCGTGGACGTGGACGTGGACGTGGACGTGGACATGGACGTGGAGGACTTTGATGTGGACGTGGAGGACGTTGACGTGGACGTGGACGTGGACGTGGTCGTAGACGTGGACGTGGTCGTGGAGTGGACGTGGACTTGGACGTGGACGTGGACGTGGACGTGGACGTGGTCGTGGACGTGGAGGACTTGGACGTAGACGTGGACGTGGACGTGGACGTGGACGTGGTCATGGACGTGGACGTGGTCGTGGAGTGGACGTGGACTTGGACGTGGACGTGGACGTGGACTTGGATTGTGGCAAGTACGATCGGGCTGGGCGGTCCCGGATCCGAGTAACATTGCTTCGCATTTTATACCGGTGTGGAATTCGCAGCTTCCCGGGCTCACAAACGCCCCTATGGGGGGGACGGTTCTTTATGCGGTGGGCCTGTTTGAAGGCAAAAAGAGTTGGAATCTCGTCCCAAGGTATCTAGGATTGTGGCAAACACGATCGTGCTGGGTGGTCCCGCATCCGAATAACATTGCTTCGCATTTTATACCGGTACGTAAATGCAGCTTCCCGAGCTCACAAACATCCCGATAGGGGGACGGTTCTTTATGCGGCGGGCCCGTTTGAAGGCAAAAAGAGTTGGAATCTCGTCCCAAGGTATCTAGGATTGTGGCAAACACGATCGTGCTGGGCGGTCCTGGATCCGAGAGACATTGCTTCGCATTTTATACCGGTACGGATTTCACAGCTTCCCGGGCTCACAAACGCCCCTATAGGGGGACGGTTCTTTATGCGACGGGCCCGTTTGAAGGCAAAAATAGTTGGAATCTCGTCCCAAGGTATCTAGGATTGTGGCAAACACGATCGTGCTGGGCGGTCCCGGATCCGAGTAACATTGCTTCGCATTTTATACCGGTACGTATTTCACAGCTTCCCAGGCTCACAAACGCCCCTTTAGGGGGACGGTTCTTTATGCGGCGGGCCCGTTTGAAGGCAAAAAGAGTTGGAATCTCGTCCCAATGTATCTAGGATTGTGGCAAATACGATCGTGCTGGGCGGTCCCGGATCCGAGTAACATTGCTTCGCATTTTATACCGGTACGGATTTCGCAGCTTCGCGGGCTCACAAACGCCCTTATAGGGGGACGGTTCTTCATGCGACGGGCCCGTTTGAAGACAAAAAGAGCTGGAATCTTGTCTAAAAGTATTTAGGATTGTGGCAAACACGATCGGGCTGGGCGGTCCCGGATCCGAGTAACATTGCTTCACATTTTATACCGGTACGGATTTCGCAGCTTCCTAGGCTCACAAACGCTCCTATAGGGGGACGGTTCTTTATGCGGCAAGCCCGTTTGAAGGCAAAAAGAGCTGGAATCTCGTCCCAAGGTATCTAGGATTGTGGCAAATACGATCGGGCTGGGCGGTCCCGGATCCGAGTAATATTGCTTCGCATTTTATACCAACGACGTGCAGCAGTTTGTGCCATGCCCTCTTGCATGGCTGGTGCGGTGGACGACGTGCTGTGTGTTGGGTGCACGTCAACGAGCTAGTCTCCGAGGAGTACTGCCGTGTGGGCTGGGGGCCCAAGCGTGAACGCGGCAGGGGAGTGTTAACGGGAGTTGTGTGTTGGCCCCGTCCTCGCTTGGGCGGATCCAACATCGTGGTCGGGTGTGAGGGGAGCAGCCGACCTGCAGCAGTGGGCGAGCTGGTTGACGAGGAGGTCGACCTGCACGGGGACCACTGCACGGGCGCCGACTTTAGGGTGGCGCTGACTTCGGGGAGGTCGACTGGGGAGTCGACCTGCGGAGGACGTCAACTTGGTGACGTCAACTTGGGGAAGCCGACTTCGGTGGTCGGCTGATGGACTGCTAGTCGACCTGCGGGTGGTCGACTGGACCTCGTGGTCGACGAAGGAGGGGCCGACGTCGACCTCGACTCAGGACGCTGAGCAGTTGGGCGTCGAGTAGCGGGGCGTCAACTTCGTGACGCCAACTTTGGGTGGCCGACGTGGGTGGTTGGCCGACGACTGTACTGGTCGACGTGGAGCTGGTCGACCAGAAGGGACGTCGACCTAGAGGAGGTCAACTGATGGAGGTGGTCGTCAACTTGGGAGGTCGACGGGCACGTACGGGAGCTGCTGGTCGACGTGGTTGCTCGGTCAACCAGGTTACCTGGGTAACAAAGTGCTGCGGAGGAGTGCGACGGTCACCCAGGCGAAGTTGGCGAGCCTGACCTCGGTGGTGGTATCCCGAGGTTGACGTGGCCGATCAGAAGCAGTCGTCAGCGCGAGATTGATATGGTGTGTGCGCTGTGCAGGTGACGAGACTCTGCACGCCAATCATCTGCGCGCACCTGCGAAGCGGGTGCACTGCTGTCCTTGGTGAGCAACGCTGGCACGCCGTCAACCTGCGACGTTGGCACGCCGTCGACCTTGCCTTGCTGGAGCGCGGTCGACCAAGTCGTGCTGGAATGCGGTCGACCAAGCTGCGCTGGCAGTTGGCCAACCTGAATGCTTGCTCTGATGTAGTCTTGCTATGCCAACTTCATTGTACCATTGTTCTGAACTTTTCCTAGTGGAACTCTTGCAAACTTTCCCCGTGAACTAGCAAGTAGTGTGCGCACAAGGAAAACGACTAAGGACTAACGAACGCAGAGATCACACGAGCACCCGTGCCTAGCCCGTTGTCTAGCTCCCATTGTAGTAGTTATCTCCGCACGCCTATCTCTAGGGGCGCCTATCTCTATGGGCGCCTATCTCTATGGGCGCCTATCTCTAGGGGCGCCTATCTCTAGGGGCGCCTATCTCTAGGGGCACCTATCGCTAGGGGCGCCTATCTCTATGGGCACCTCTCTCTAGGGGCGCCTATCTCTATGTGCGCCTATCTCTAGGGGCGCCTATCTCTATGGGCGCCTATCTCTAGGGGCGCCTATCTCTAGGGGCGCCTATCTCTATGGGCGCCTATCTCTAGGGGCGCCTATCTCTATGGGCGCCTATCTCTATGGGCGCCTATCTCTAGGGGACCAGGCCCATACGTTTGCACTTGGTCCGGGGACCAGGCCCATTTGTTTCCTATTGGTCCGAGGACCAGGCCCATATGTTTGTACTTGGTCCGAGGACCAGGCCCATACGCTTGTACTTGGTCCGGGGACCAGCCCATATGTTTGCACTTGGTCCGAGGACCAGGCCCATACGTTTGCACTTGGTCCAAGGACCAGGCCCATACATTTGCACTTGGTCCGAGGACCAGGCCCATACGTTTGCACTTGGTCCGAGGACCAGGCCCATACGTTTGCACCTGGTCCGAGGACCAGGCCCATACATTCGTTTCTTGGTCCGAAGACCAGGCCCATACGTTTGTACTTGGTCCGAGGACCAGGCCCGTACGTTTGTACTTGGTCCAAGGACCAGGCCCATACGTTTGTACTTGGTCCAAGGACCAGGCCCATACGTTTGTACTTGGTCCGAGGACCAGGCCCATACGTTTGCACTTGGTCCGAGCACCAGGCACATACGTTTGCACTTGGTCCGAGGACCAGGCCCATACGTTAGTACTTGGTCCTAGGACCAGGCCCATAAGTTTGTACTTGGTCCGAGGACCAGGCCCATACATTTGCAAATGGTCCGAGGACCAGGCCCATACGTTTGCACTTGGTCCAAGGACCAGGCCCATACATTTGCACTTGGTCCGAGGACCAGGCCCATACCTTTGCACTTGGTCCGAGGACCAGGCCCATACGTTTAGACTTGGTCCGAGGACCAGGCCCATACGTTTGTACTTGGTCCGAGGACCAGGCCCATACGTTTAGACTTGGTCCAAGGACCAGGCCTATACGTTTCAACTTGGTCCGAGGACCAGGCCCATACATTTGTACTTGGTCCGAGGACCAGGCCCATACGTTTAGACTTGGTCCGAGGACCAGGCCCATACGTTTAGACTTGGTCCGAGGTCCAGGCCCATACATTTGCACTTGGTCCGGAACCAGGCCCATACGTTCGCACTTGGTCCGAGGACCAGGCCCATACGTTTAGACTTGGTCCGAGGACCAGGCCCATACGTTAAGACTTGGTCTGAGGTCCAGGCCCATACGTTTGCACTTGGTCTGAGGACCAGGCCCATACGTTTGCACCTGGTCCGAGGACCAGGCCCATACGTTTGCACTTGGTCCAAGGACAAGGCTCATACATTTGCACTTGGTCTGAGGACCAAGCCCATACGTTTGCACTTGGTCCAAGGACCAAGCCCATACGTTTGCACTTTCCATCACCCAACCCCATTCTCCCTCCTTCTATCACCCCGCCCCATTCTCCCGTTTTCCATCACCCCGCCCCATTCTCCCGCTTTCCATCACCCCGCCCCATTCTCCCGCTTTCCATCACCCCGCCCCATTCTCCCGCTTTCCATCACCCTGCCCCATTCTCCCTCTTTCCATCACCCCGCCCCATTCTCCCTCTTTCCATCACCGCGCCACATTCTCCCTCTTTCCATAACCCCGCCCCATTCTCCCGCTTTCCATCACACCGCCCCATTCTCCCGCTTTCCATCACCCCGCCCCATTCTCACTCTTTCCATATTCCCGCCCCATTCTTCCGCTTTCCATCACCCCGCCCCATTCTCCCTCTTTCTATCACCCCGCCCCATTCTCCCGCTAGCCATCACCCCGCCCCATCTCCCGCTTTCCATCACCCCGCCCCATTCTCCCGCTTTCCATCACCCTGCCCCATTCTCCCGCTTTCCATCACCCCACCCAGTTCTCCCGCTTTCCATCACCCCGCCCCATTCTCCCGCGTTCCATCACCCCGCCCCATTCTCCCGCTTTCCATCACCCCGTCCCATTCTCCCGCTTTCCATCTGTCCGCCCCATTCTCCCGCTTTCTAGCACCCCGCCCCATTCTCCCGCTTTCTATCACCCCGCCCAGTTCTCCCGCTTTCCATCACCCCGCCCGATTCACCCGCTTTCCATCACCCCGCCCCATTCTCCCGCTTTCCATATTCCCGCCCCATTCTTCCGCTTTCCATCACCCCGCCCCGTTCTCCCTCTTTCTATCACCCCGCCCCATTCTCCCGCTAGCCATCACCCCGCCCCATTCTCCCGCTTTCCATCACCCCGCCCCATTCTCCCGCTTTCCATCACCCCGCCCTGTTCTCCCGCTTTCCATCACCCCGCCCCATTCTCCCTCTTTCCATCAACCTGCCCCATTCTCCCTCTTTCCATCACCGCGCCCCATTCTCCCTCTTTCCATAACCCCGCCCCATTCTCCCGCTTTCCATCACCCTGCCCCATTCTCCCGCTTTCCATCACCCCGTCCCATTCTCCCGCTTTCCATCTGCCCGCCCCATTCTCCCGCTTTCTAGCACCCCGCCCCATTCTCCCGCTTTCTATCACCCCGCCCCATTCTCCCGCTTTCCAGCACCCCGCCCCGTTCTCCCGCTTTCCATCACCCCGCCCTATTCTCCCGCTTTCGACCACCCCGCCCCATTCTCCCGCTTTCTGTCACCCTCCCCCATTCTCCTGCTTTCCATCAACCCACCCCATTCTCCCTCTTTCCATCACCCCGCCCCATTCTCCCGCTTTCCATCACCCACCCCATTCTCCCGCTTTCCATCACCCCGCCCTATTCTCCCGCTTTCCATCACCCGCCCCATTCTCCCGCTTTCCATCACCCCGCCCCATTCTCCCGCTTTCCATCACCTCGCTCCATTCTCCCGCTTTCCATCACCCCGCCCCATTCTCCCGCTTTCCAGCACCCCGCCCCATTCTCCCGCATTCCATCACCCCGCCCGATTCTCCTGCTTTCCATCAAACCTCACAATTCTTCCGCTTTCCATCATCCCGCCCCATTCTCCCTCTTTCTATCACCCTGCCCCATTCTCCCACTTGCCATCACCCCGCCCCATTCTCCCGCTTTCCATCACCCCGCCCTATTCTCCCGCTTTCCATCACCCGCCCCATTCTCCCGCTTTCCATCACCCCGCCCCATTCTCCCGCTTTCCATCACCCCGCCCTGTTCTCCCGCTTTCCATCACCCCGCCCCATTCTCCCTCTTTCCATCAACCTGCCCCATTCTCCCTCTTTCCATCACCGCGCCCCATTCTCCCTCTTTCCATAACCCCGCCCCATTCTCCCGCTTTCCATCACCCTGCCCCATTCTCCCGCTTTCCATCACCCCGTCCCATTCTCCCGCTTTCCATCTGCCCGCCCCATTCTCCCGCTTTCTAGCACCCCGCCCCATTCTCCCGCTTTCTATCACCCCGCCCCATTCTCCCGCTTTCCAGCACCCCGCCCCGTTCTCCCGCTTTCCATCACCCCGCCCTATTCTCCCGCTTTCGACCAGCCCGCCCCATTCTCCCGCTTTCTGTCACCCTCCCCCATTCTCCTGCTTTCCATCAACCCACCCCATTCTCCCTCTTTCCATCACCCCGCCCCATTCTCCCGCTTTCCATCACCCGCCCCATTCTCCCGCTTTCCATCACCCCGCCCTATTCTCCCGCTTTCCATCACCCGCCCCATTCTCCCGCTTTCCATCACCCCGCCCCATTCTCCCGCTTTCCATCACCTCGCCCCATTCTCCCGCTTTCCATCACCCCGCCCCATTCTCCCGCTTTCCAGCACCCCGCCCCATTCTCCCGCATTCCATCACCCCGCCCGATTCTCCTGCTTTCCATCAAACCTCACAATTCTTCCGCTTTCCATCATCCCGCCCCATTCTCCCTCTTTCTATCACCCTGCCCCATTCTCCCACTTGCCATCACCCCGCCCCATTCTCCCGCTTTCCATCACCCCGCCCCATTCTCCCTCTTTCCATCACCCCGCCCCATTCTCCCTCTTTCCATAACCCCGCCCCATTCTCCCGCTTTCCATCACCCCGCCCCATTCTCCCGCTTTCCATCACCTCGCCCCATTCTCCCGCTTTCCATCACCCCGCCCCATTCTCCCTGTTTCCATCACCCCGCCCCATTCTCCCTCTTTCCATCACCGCGCCCCTTTCTCCCTCTTTCCATAACGCCGCCCCATTCTCCCGCTTTCCATCACCCCGCCCCATTCTCCCGCTTTTCATCTGCCCGCCCCATTCTCTCGCTTTCTAGCACCCCGCCCCATTCTCCCGCTTTCTATCACCCCACCCCATTCTCCTGCTTTCTAGCACCCCGCCCCATTCTCCCGCTTTCTATCACCCCGCCCCGTTCTCCCGCTTTCCATCACCCCGCCCGATTCACCCGCTTTCCATCACCCCGCCCCATTCTCCCGCTTTCCATATTCCCGCCCCATTCTTCTGCTTTCCATCACCCCGCCCCATTCTCCCTCTTTCTATCACCCCGCCCCATTCTCCCGCTTGCCATCACCCCGCCCCATTCTCCCGCTTTCTATCACCCCGCCCCATTCTCCACCCCGGCAGCAGATCACTCACACCCGCCACCCCCATACCCTCCCCCCCACTGCTGCACGCGCAGCAGGGGGATGGAGGAGAAGGGGGGGCGGGGTAGGAGCTGCGCGGGCTACAGCATGGGCAGGGTAGGTGCGCGCACACCTGGCGCAGGCTATACGGGCCGCGCGCGGCCCTGGCGCAGGCTGTACGGGCCGCGCGCGGCCCTGGCACGGGCTGCACAGGCAGCGCGTGGGTCGTACGGGCCGCGCGCGGCAGGGCAGAAGCCGTTGCGCAAAATCGCCGCACGCCCGAGGCGCGCGACGAGCAGAAAATCGACGCGCGCTCGGGGCGCGCGGCGGGCAGAAAACTGACGCACGCCCTGGGCGTGCGACAGGCAGCAGAGAGGCCCATGAGCGGAAGCGTGGTGGTGGGCCCTATGAGACTGGTCCTAGGAGAAACTTTGCTCTGATACCATGTCAAAATAGGTAGTTAACTAGTAGAAGGCATTAGGGTTTGCACAAGAGAGGAGAGTATCGAGATAGTTGTCAAGGCAAAAAGATGGTTTCACTATAGGCTCAAGGGTACAAATATGAAAGAAGAGAAGAAAGGTGCACCACCTAACAAGCAAGATAACTACACTAAGTCTACATTGCAGGCAGTTATAAAGTAATGTATACAATTACATTCTGACACTTCCTGCACATGTGCAGATCCTTCCGCATTTTGAGGCTAGAAGCGCTCGTTCAAAGCGTTTTTCTTCTTCTGGGTCACCTGGCTGTACTTATCTTGGCCTATTACCAAGCCAGCAAGGGCATGGGTGGGTTGCAAGAATCATCGATCATCGGCGCTCGCGAATGAAGAGCGCTCGCTGCAATTCCTGCGCATGTGCGAATCCTTCCGCGTTTTGAGGCTGGAAGCGCTCGTTCAAAGCGTTTTTTTTTCTACCAGGTCACCTGGGCTTGGAAGGGGGGTGCTGGGTGTGCTATCAAACTGAGTGACGTTTGCTGCATCCTCATCTTCCGCCAGGTCAGCTTCATCGTGTGGAGTTGCGAAGCTGCGATGTCCCTCAAAAACCCTTTCCGGTGCCTTGTCAGCTTTGCGGTGTTCGTTAAACAGTGGCAGAGTCAGCTTCTCATAGAAGATGCAGTCACGTGATTTCGTCACTTCATGTGTCGCGTAGTCCAACATGATCCACGCCTTATATTCCTTTTTTATCCCGAGGTGGATGCCCCAGCGAGCTCGTTCAGTAAATTTTCCGGTCCATGCTGTATGTGGCCTGTACTGTACCATGCAACCGAAAACCCGAAGCAGGCGCGTGTTTGCTTTTCTGCCTGTCCACGCTCTGTATGGGGAGTTGTTGTTCTCGAGGCTTCGGGAGGACAGCAAGTTGTGCAGTCGGACTGCACGGTTCATGGCGAACGGCCAGTACTGTGTTGGGATGGCCGACTGCTTCATCAGAGCCCTCATCCTAGTCGCGAGGCTCCTGTCTGTCCGTTCTGCTACTCCTTGCTGCTCGTGAGCGTAGGGCAGGAACACCAGGTGTTCAATCCCTTTCCTCCGAAAGAGCTCCTTGAAATCGTCTGAGAAGAACTCCAGAGCTCCGTCCGTTTGCCAGCTTTTCAGCTTAAGTCCCGATTGTCATTCGGCTCGCTTCATCCACGCGATGAAGCACTCGAAGGCGAGTGACCTGCAGCCGGTGTTGATGGCCCAGACGTAGCAAGTACTCGCGTCGATGAAGGTCAGCGTGTAATATTCGTCATCAAGACCTTCCCGAGCCAGGCACATAAAGTCGTTGTAGACCTTATCGAGCGGTTGATAGCGTTCGTAACCGGGCGGTAAGTCGGGGAAGGGTTTGTGAGCAAGCGACGCAGTAGGACACACTGTGCAGGACGGGTCGTCGGAGTCTGCGGTAAGGAATCCTCCCCGTGGAAGAAGCAGAGCTTCGTTGTCGAGAACGCCAGCCTTCAGGGAGATCTTGAGTGTTGTGTGAGAAGGATGCCCGAGCCGCTGATGCCAGATTTCTGGTTCCGCAAGGTAGCCGACCGTTTTCTGATAATAATTTTGCCTTGCTGCTTTGTCGTTTGCCTCCCCTTCAGATCCTGCATCGGCGGCGTCGTCAGCGTCGGCGGCGAACGCGCGAATTGAGTTTTGTTCCAGAAGCGCGTGTGGAATACCGATGATGTCATTGGTATTGCCGGCGTCGACTTGGTCTCCGGTAACAAGCAGGCGCTGATTGGGCCAGTCGCGGACTGGGAGTCCCTTCATGGGAATGCGATAGTAGCTGAACTCGGCCCCAATCACCTCAATTTCCTGTGGTCCTTGTTCTGGCAGCTCCAGTTCCTCGGTAGGTCCTGGTAGCTCCGCTGCTTCGCCAAAGATCTCGTAAGTTACTTCTTCCTCCTCTGACTCTTCTTGCATTGGTTCTGGTGTGTCAGGGGCGTACTGGTCCGGAAGAGGAGGGCCACCCCAGCTGGTGCCTCGTGTTGCCTAATAAGGATCGATCTCTGCCGTTTCCGCTGAAGGGAGTCCCGGAGCTTCGGGGTATGGAAGGGCCGCCTGCCCCAATTCTGCTTTGCCTGCAGAGGTGCCCCAGCCGCTTCCGCCTTCACGGGTGTCCCAGCCGCTTCCGCCTGCAGAGGTGCCCCAGCCGCCGGGATTGTCTTCAGCGCCCCAGCCGCCTCCTTCGCCCCAACCGCCTTCTGCGCTCCAGCCACCTTCGGCGGCATCGCTTGCTTCTGTTGCCGAGATGGTGCCCCGCTCTGCAGCTGCCTCCTCCGGTGTTAGGATTTCTCCCAAAGGACCGAGTGCAGGTTCAGGGCTACCTGATCTAGTTTCAGCCTTCTTGTCTTCTGTGGTGGCTTGTTCTGCAGGTGCTGATGTGCCGCTGTCTTCTTCCATTGATGCAGGTCCAGTCTCAGCTGGGTTGGAGGTTGAGGCTGTCGGAACGGTGCGCAGTCGCAAAATTCCGTCCGAGGCGGGTCGTTCGAGATCCATCTCTGTGGGATGCGACCAGGTCGGAGATTCTGCAGTGGCTGTTTTCAACAGCAAGGTGCGGTGAGAATCTCCTGAAGTGCCTTGAGCTGAGAACTGCAACACGAAGACCCCGTCGTTGTCCACGGCTTTACCGATGTAAGTGTTGCCGTAGAAGAGTGTCAGTAGAGCTACACTGTGAGATCCCCGATCGATCCTAGGGGGGGTTACAGGCGCGTTTGCCTAGGGGGTTATGGGCGCACTGACCCGCTACTGAAACAGGCCCTTTTATCCCAATGGTCTAGTGGTTGGGATTCTGACATGGTATCAGAGCGGTCTCGGGTTCGAATCCCGGTGTATGCACATGTTGGCCGTTGCCACTGTGCTCAGTCCTGGGCCTCCCAGTGTGGGGGGGTGTCAGTAGAGCTACACTGTGAGATCCCCGATCGATCCTAGGGGGGGTTACAGGCGCGTTTGCTTGGGGGGTTATGGGCGCACTGACCCACTACTGAAACAAGCCCTTTAATCCCAATGGTCTAGTGGTTGGGATTCTGACAAAGAGTTTGAGGGTCTTGTCCATGCGATTGCTTCGAATGTCGAATGTTTGCGCCCTTGTTGCCTTGGCAATAGGCCCAGACAAGCGCAGCAAGTTGACCTGGTAAAAGAAAAATGCTTTGAACGAGCGCTTCCAACCCCAAAACACAGAAGGATCCGCACATGTGCAGCAAGTGCAGCGGGCGCGCTTCATTCGCGAGCGCCGATGACCGATGATGCTTGCAACCCACCCACGCAATATCTGGCTTGGCAATAGGCCGAGACAAGCGCTGCCATGTGACCCGGTAGAAGAAAAACGCTTTGAACGAGCGCTTCCAGCCCCAAAACGCGGAAGAATCCGCAGATGTGCAGGAAGTGCAGCGGGCGCTCTTCTTTTGCGAGCGCCGATAACCGATGATACTTGCAACCCACCCACGCCCTTGCTGGCTTGGCAATAGGCCTAGACAAGCACAGCCAGGTGACCCGGTAGAAGAATAACGCTTTGAACGAGCGCTTCCAGCCCCGAAATGCGGAAGGATCTGCACATGTGCAGGAAGTGTAGCGGGCGCTCTTCATTCGCGAGCGTCGATGACCAATAATGCTTGCAACCCACCCACGCCCTTGCTGGCTTGGCAATAAGCCCAAACAAGCGCAGCCAAGTTACCCGGTAGAAGAAAAACGCTTTGAATGAGTACTTCCAGCCCCAAAAAACGGAAGGATCCGCACATGTGTAGGAAGTGCAGTGGGCGCTCTTCTTTCGCGAGCGCCGATGACTGTTGATGCTTGCAACCCACCCACACTCTTGCTGGCTTGGCAAGAGGCCCAGGCAAGTGCAGCCAGGTGACCTCTATGTAATTTGGCGGATATAGACATTCTAGTCCTACATGGTACATGCACTACAGGCGCGCATACTGACCAAACTGAACAGCGCATTACTTATGTTTGTAGATACTCAGTTATTACCATATTCTTGCCAGTCCACTAGATTAGGCCTTCTACTTTGACAGCACTTGGTTATAATATTTTGGATCCACATAATTTGGGAGATTTCAGAGTTTCAGTTCCGCCTTGTACCTGCACAAAAGCGCGCATACTGACCTTACCGGCCAACACATTATTCTCTCTGTAGAAATACACTATATACCATATGTATTCCCATTTTCTTTAAGGTATACCATTTCCCACCCCCCTACCATGTTTTAGCCTATTGGATCTATG